TACCATAGGTGATTCGACTAACTAATAATTAGGCTGTTCGTGTTGAACACCCTCGACTGAAGCTTCAAGTCAAAAGTGGCTTTGCCATCAAATTCAGTGGAAAATTACTACCATTTGAACACCAGGAATAATTTAAAAGCAGTTATTTTTCTCTACACAATAAAATTAGAAACTAATGTTAGCATCAGGTGGTCCATTCCTTGGTCAAGCTAAAACTGCATAGTCTTGGTCCAGATCAGGAAAATGCTGTGTATATTTTAAAATAATTATGTAGATTTTTATGGCATCAAGAGGTAATTTATAAAATGTACAGAAATGGACTGTTCGAAAGACTAGCCTTTAAAATATTATATAGACTAAGTTCTTGTTTGTGAAAAGCACATAGATTCTACATTAAGAAGAATGCAGCTTTTAACATCTTCCCTTTTCAGCATTATTTAATTATTACCAATGTTTCTGTACAAGGGTGACTACAGACCAACATATTAACACTTTTTAGGTAATCAGGCGTGCTCTAAAACATGCCATGCATATTTTCCTTTCAAATTCATGCATTATCAACTTACTGAATGAGTCAATTTACAGATAATTGTTTTAAGTAATTTTTTAAAAATGGTTTATCTCCAGTTTGGCTTCATGTTACTGTGGTTTCATTTATGAACAGCAATAAGATAGCAGACATAAACTCCCCTTTCCTAACAGAAATGGAGTCAAATCAACGAATGAAATTATTTGAGACAAATCATTGGCTCATGTACCAGAAAACTATTTCTACAAATTGATAGCCAGAATTTGAATTTATAAGCTAGCCAATTTTCATGGACCCCATTTTTTAACCTAAAATTTTCAAGAGTTAAAAATTGCATTTGTAGCACCTAACATATGTGCTCTTGCTTGGAATATAGTTCTTCAATGTTCTATGATATTGTTGCTTTCTTGACTCCCAGGAAAATATGTTGGTTGCATGGCTATTACTGTCTCATTTTGATTACTGGAACACTAGCATTTACCTCCAGTAAAGTTTGAAATAACATCTAATTGACTGCGCATTGACATATTGTTGGTAGAGGTAGGTTGACATATCATTGGTAGAGGGGGAAATTATATTTAATTGATATTTGCTTGATAACATTTTTACTATTTTATTTTGTAATAGTTTTAAATGTTCTTTCTGAATGTTTTACCAAGTTTAAAATAATGGCAGGAAGATAATTAAGAAATATACAATGTATATTGTATACATTGTCAAATATACAATTTGATTAAAAATATATAAGGTCAGACTGAAAATAAAATATGCTAGTTTCTTCCACTGTTATTTTTTTTTTAAATGTAGTAGTTAATTATTCATTTCCATGTGCAACAGATTTTTATTCCCCAGCTACTAATGCCTACAGAAGTTAATTTTCCAGCTTATGTTTATGAAATTTTGTCATGCCAAGAACAAGAGGTATTTCTTGAAAACATAACTTGGACAAGAAATAAATCCCAGAACAAATACAAAATAGCAGTTTCCCACGGAATCATCTGGCAAAAGGGCTCTCAGCACTAAATTTAGGCTGGTAAGTTTGACTTAATGCTTCAAGCTACACAAGGCTCAACAAAGAACCTTAAAGGCACACACAACATGCTGACTATCAACTACCGCAGTGGTTTTCAACCTGTGGTCCATGTACCCCTAGGGGGCACTATGTCATGACAGGGGGCCTGTGAAAACTTGACGAAATGTTATGATTTAAATCTTGAGTTAAATCTTGGGGGTCTGTGGCATAGTCCCTGGCCACATAAGATATTTAAGTGAAGAAAAGATTGAGAACCACCGACCATGAACTTTCACACTTCTCCCCTCATTTCATTGGAACCTTTTGGATGAAAATTCCAGCAAATTGTAATATGTAACATAAACGAGAACAGGGTTAATAGATTTTTTTTTTAAAAAAAAAAACTATTTTCTACTCCAACTGATGGCAATTTGTTTAATTGTGCTTCTCCTTGGCGGCTCAATGATTGACAGTCATCCAATAGTGGGAAAGAATTGGCAATGCTATTTGCCCCATGAAAAAGAAAGTTCAGCAAAAGGATTTCAGGCGACACTTTGGCTAGTCTCAAGCCCATGTAAATGTCAATTATTTCCATGAAGTGATCTAAACACATTTTTAAAGGTTTTTTTTTTACTAAAAATAGAAGAAAGTGCTGAACTTTGGCTGGAATACACCCCATTTTATATATTTAATATAAATATAAAATAAATATTTTGAGAAATATTTTTTAAACCTACAACAAAATTTAGAGTCATTTTAGTTTTCTCTTTTTACATTTATCACCCCCCCATCCCCCAAGCAAGATGAAATCTGCCTATCTACAAACACAGATTTTAAACACAAGAGTTACCTGAGACCCTGTAATGTGAAGACAAATAGACAAAAGGAATTAAAAACAGTCCCCTGAAAGAAATACAATTAGTTCAGCTCTTACAAACACAAGGAGTGGAGAAGAAGCAAGCAAGCTACTGTATTCAAAATTCACCATCTCTACACTGGTTGCTAAGATATTTTATAGGGACATATAACAGCCCTACCTAGAACATGCTACATGAACACTGATCACTTTTAAAACCTCAAGAGATGCATGTATAAAGTACAAGAGGATGCTGTAGGTTACAATTGTGCCAATTATTAAAAGACATGTCTATCTCCTCCGTGGATACTGCATTTACAATGAACTGGTTTGTTTCAGTAGAGTTCATTGTTCTTACGAAGCTCTCATCCCAAACTACTCAATAGATTAAAATTATTTTGTAAATCAATACTTTCACAGCACTGTATATACTGCAGGGAAATTCTATGGGCTATACTGTGTGCAGAAATGCAATGCAGAGTTTATCTATGGAAGGAATGCCATTGAGCTAAATTCTTGCCCTTTCTTGAGTGATAACATTTCTTTACCATCGCAACTTGTAAAGGTGGGTGTATGATGTGACTACGGATGTGACTGGTGGGATTGGGTGAATGAAAATAAGGTGCGCGCACCTCAAAACAGTTGTTCTGAAGAAGAATCTGTCTTTGTGAAGTTATGTATTATATATCATCATAACAACAACTATTACTAACACTACATTTATATAGAATGGGGTCAGGATTGAGCTATTTCCCTCACCCTGTTGACTGAAAGAGAAGAATACATCAAAAGGTTGTATAAATAACTTTGTAAGAAAAAAGCAGGGGCAAATCACACAGTGAACTACAGAGCTAAATACTAATAATTGTTCTGTACGTGGAAGCTAAGATATATATTCTGCTATATCAATATAAAGTTAGGCACAAATTATACGATGGCTTCTTCAGAAGTAAAAGTTAGAACTCAAAAGAGAGGAGAAAGGAACAGAAATCAATCTGGGACCAACCTGACATTAGAACCTCTTCAGTGTGCCAAGAAAATCAAGACACAATCAATACTCATAAATGAAGCATTTCTTTAAGGAATAAAAGGATGGGGAATGCTGAATTCTTAAAATTAATAAATTAGTGCATGGGTGCCCATCTGCCTCAGCTTGGTATTCTTTTTTAGCAGACAAATACATCTTTGTGAGACATGACACAAGTCAGTATGCTTTGCTTTGCTTTGTTTACTATATACAACTTTTTTTAAAAAAATCCTGAAAGGCATATTCATCTTTCTCCAGATCTATGCTAAAACATCATTCTGTATGAGTGCATTATATTAAAAGGCTGCAAGTGGTAAAAAGCAGCTCAGTGATGCCAAAGTGACTAGCAGCCACTGAATGGAAGACATATTGGCAGAATCAGTGGGCCACATTCAACTCCTAGGGCACAATATTGAAGAACTCCGTTCAGACTCAAGTGAAGCCCTTCTGCACTTGGATAGCGAGGTAGGAATCTAGTCTCAGCTGTTGTGTACCGTTCTTAGCTGCATCCTCTCCTTTGTTTCATGCATCCAAATCCAACTTCACTTCTACGTGTGACATGCCTAATGACTACTTTAGAATAAGCTCCAGATGAGCATATATTTCGAGCTACAGTATTTTAAGTTGAAAACTCAGCTTGTTCCATAAGCATATTTTTACAGTGGAAAACACTGGCTTGAGGCACCAAGTTTCAGAACTGGCCAGGCTTGGCAGCAATAGGCCACTGGCCTGACGTATCTACTATTACATATAAATAGTTGCTATCACACATTTTCATTAACATATGAGACTGATGGTATCTTGGGAAATACAGATATGAACAATGGATTTGTCCCGAATGCAGCCCTACAACTTAGTTGTCAGCTTTAGACAGTTTTGCATATACAGCAATCTGATTCAATGATTCCTAGGTCTAATTTAATGTCCCTTAAAATTAATGAGCACAAATATGATAAACCCAGTCAGGGAAAGCTGGTCAGCTTAACTTGTTATCTTTGCTTTGCCCTTGCTAGCTTTTCCATATCATATAATTATGCAAAAGATACTTTTGTGCTAGGTTGGTTGGTTGTTTTTTTAAGATCCCAAGAAGATAACAATCACAGGTGTACAACTCCCCCCCCCCAACAAATTAACAACCCAGTGCTGTACAAAGTTGCCAATCCACTGGTCTATCAGTAACAGTGAAGCAATGTTCTCTGGATGTCCATATGGTGTCAGCAATTGCATTATTGTATTCTACCCATGTGGCTGCAACAAACAAACCAAATTATGTAAATTAGCCCTAAGAGCAAAATTGGCCCAGCATTCACAAAACAATTTATCCTACTGCAACATCTGTTACCGTTCTACAGTGAAGTATTCCTTCCTGGCACCAATGGGTATGAAGAACAAAATCTAGTACTTAAAGTGGTCTATCTAGTGTTTACTGTGAGCATGCAACAATAAATCTTACTTGCTAAAGAACCACTTTCAGAGATGAAAGAAAGAAAGAAAGAAAGAAAGAAAGAAAGAAAGAAAGAAAGAAAGAAAGAAAGAAAGAAAGAACTGTACAACATAGCCACAAGTAGGAGAATTACTAGGATTGCATTTCCAATTCAAAATCTTTTGGTGGCAGTTTAAGTCCAAGGGAAGACGTTCCCAGTGGGTCTATCATATTCTGATAACGCACACCACGATGTTTAGCCAAAAATGGCCCCCAATCTGGCTGTGGAGAGCAGACCAACTTGAGCCTCTGTAAGGGAAGGGAGAATCAGTTACAAATACAGATCAGGATCAGTTACAGTAACATTACTCAATGTTAGTCTGGAAAACAATATTAAAGTATCTGAGGTACAGAGTTTGTTTAGCTCAAGATCAATAAATAAAAACTCCATTTACTTATGTAGCCTTCACCATTATCAATTATCTCTCCATTTGAGTCACTAGTAACTAAGCTCAAATGCCACGGCAAATGTTCTCAATTGCTTAACCAAATCATCTGAGCAGTTGGTTCGGGCATCAAGATAATATGACTTCTGCTTAGCAAATTTCTGAAAAAAATGCAGTGATGACCAGGAATGTAATAAACAGCAGGAAATGAAAAAATATATATTTTAATTATCATACTACAATTTTATTTCTATCCGCAGGCAGGAAACTAGGATATTTCTGCAGAGTTTGAGGCAATGAAAATCTGAATTCCGTGTTCAAGACATAATTTGGTACATGTTATACAGAAAAAAGGAAACATATTTATGACAGTATTAAAGGGAACAATTATATGTTTACTACCTATTAAAAGCAATTGAGTCTCCATACCAATTATTTTAATTCTTGCTTAATTACCACTTTGCAACTTATGCCTCCCTAATCAATTGCAATAAACTGAGAAGCTCGGGAAATATTCTGCTGAAAATGAAATATGAACAAATTGTTTCAGATGGAGTCAGGGGAATTTTGCCCTATCTTGAACCTCACTGGAAGCCTATTTCTCTAGTAAAAATAAATAAAAACAGTACTTTTAAGGATAAGTGCTGTTATAAATTAACTTTGAAAGTTTCTAAAATATCACTCTTATCTTTGTTTGTTGGGGCAGTGGTAGGATTCAAATAATTTAACAACCGGTTCTCTGCCCTAATGATTTCTTCCAACAACCAGTTCACCAAACTGCTCAGAAAGCTAACAACTGGTTCTCCCAAAGTGGTGTGAACTGGCTGAATCCCACCACTGAGTTGGGGTAATGTGAGAGGCACTAAGCAAAATGCACAAACTGTGGTTCTTCCCCATATTTTACCTATTTCAGTGTGTTCTTCACATTGGAACGATCTAAAGTATAAAATTTTCTGGATATTTCCACGGATTTCTTACAGTTGTACATGTTAGACGTATGTTTTGAATTCATCTGATCACAACAGTCATCCTTCAGATGATGCTCATTCATCCAATGGAAACAATGATCAATAATAACCAAAGAGTAAAACTTTCTAAACATGATTTTGGAAACATATGATAGGCCAATCCTATACTAAATTCTGAAAAAAAAGGGGAACAGAATAGAAGGCATAGTAGTTACCTCAATGAAGTTCCCAGGAGCTAGATGCATTTTTATCACAAACATAATAGGAATCCAAATAACAGAGCAAGCCAACATCAACCATCCTAGTACCATTGACCAGCCTGGATAATGATAGGTGGCATAAGTCATTGGCTCCCATTGGTAGAAGCTGAAGGAAAGGATGAACTAGAAAAAAAACATGTGTGATTAGCATCAAGATATTAAATGAATACAGATAATTTCTATGAAAGTGTAAACAATTGTGCGTATAGATATACGACTTCATAATAAATGACTGTACAGGTAATCCTCAATTTACAACACTTCATTTAGTGACTGTTCATTGCAGCATCCCCAGAGTTACATGATCAAAATTCACATGCTTGGCAACCAATTCATATTCATGATCATTATAGCATCCCAGGGTCATGCGATCCCCTTTTGCGACTTTATGACAAGCAAAGTCAATGGAAAAAACAGTTCACTTAACAACCATGTTACTAATTTAACAACTGGGTCAAGAAAAGTCATAAAATGAGGCAAATTAACACATTTCTCACTTAGCAACATAAATTTTGGGCTCAATTGCAGTCATAAGTTGAGGGCTACCTGTATATGATCAGATTTAAGGCAATGTCACCTAATGTAAATATTATATAACTCAATGGAAAAAGTTAAATATTTTTTGAGTAAACGAAACCACAATATTATATCTACAGTTTAAAACAAGTTATTATTCAGTCTATTGGCAGCATAGCTTAATGTAATTATCTTATTAGTCCACTACATTTACAGTATAAAGAGCCACATGTCTGTATGTTGGTGCATAGCTCGATGTTCTCTGTGAACTGCATATAGATGCAATAATTTAATGGAGGTTTATCAAAGAGAACATATAAAAGTGGCTGAGTTAACTTCAGATTAACAGGGATCAATTCAAACTGTAAGATTAATTATTTCAAGGTATCAAATATTAGTTTTACTGAATGCCTTAACCAAAAAGAAAAAAATGCAAATGATTATAATGCATCTTCAATAACCTCATAATATGAAATATATTTAATTGCTCCATAGCTAAATTGGATCCATCTTTTCCTGATATGGAACAACAAGAGTAATATATTTAGATGAAGATTTAAAAGTAAACAGTTAAAAATGGATCCATTGCTACTGCCCATTCCATTTATTTTGCTTAAATCCACATTCAATAATTGCTGTGTTGTATTTTAAAAAAATAGCTAAGGGAAAATACAAATAACAGCTGCACATCAATGTTGTATTGCTAAGGAACACAAAGGGAAAAAAAGGAAAGCATTTTAGAGGTATTTAGGAAAAAGTCTAAGCTGCAGCCAAAGGTATTCTATTTGGATCCTGAAATATAAAACAGTTAACCTGCACTACGTTACTGCTGAGAGTCGCACCTGGTGGGAAAATAACTAGTAATCTGGGACAGGCAGGGCATTTGGACTAAGCTGAAGCTCCTTGACCCACTTGCACCCATGTCAACTTTGCAGTGACAGCAAGACAGAAAAGAGCCAGCCATGTCTGGCACCAACAGCTAAACTGAATGGCAGAGATACATCTTTGCAGAACTTGGCAGATGACTGCCTATTTTCATTTCCCCCAATGCTGCCACAAGCCAATCTGTTCCTGCTACCCCAGTGCACCTGCTCAGGAATAATAAAAGAGAGAGAGAGAGAGAGATGCATATGTATGTATGATGAAAAGAAAAGAGTTTGTGTGTCCTAGATGCTTAATTCTTAGCATTATTTTGTATTCCCTGCAGCAAACCAAATTCTTAGGTTACATGATGTGCTTAACACTGTTGTGTGACTTTCTATAGCAGGGGTGTCAAAATCATGTCATCATGGTGGTGTCACGTGACATGTCGGGACTTTTTCCCCCTTCATTAAACTGGCTGTGGGCGTGGCCAGCTTATGCCGTATATGACCCACAGACCAGGAGTCTGACAGTCCTGTTCTAGAGCAATCCATGTAGAAATTATTTACTGCTTTCAAGTCAGGCCAGTTGAATCTGGACCAGATTGTTTCAAAGGCCTGATCATTTATTCAAATGCTGTTGGTTGCTGATGAACACATTATTTACTGTAGGCTGTGCCCTTTTCTTTTTTTCCAGAAGACTCCATTCTTTTAACTAACAGGCACTGCCTGCTGAAACACGAGGCTTTAATCTTCAGATGCACTGAAGTTTGGACTTCAGTCACATCTGATAGGATTAAAGCAGGTTCTCAACAGCTGAATGACTTCAATGCATGAATGATAACAACGTCCTTCCAAGTGTTTACTTTGCCTTCTGAAGATATAAAAAAAAGAGATATGCTACTATAGAATTTATGGATTTAGGAAAAAAATGAGTCTTAAGTCAGAAAAGACCTCATCTAGTTGAGAAACCTTTTTCCCTAATGCAGTGTAAGGACAAACTTTTGTTTGTTTCTTATTCTATATCCTACTGGATTATAGCTGGGAAGGATCACTGTCAGACAGGGATTACCCACCTTTCAAATCTCAATTTTACATATAGCAATACTTTCAGGGATCTCTAACCACTTAACCTTGAAATCCTAAGCATATGTGTAGAGACTAAAGACAATGCTGCTTGGAGCAGAAGAGGAACAAAGAATACAATACAAATTGAAAGCTTCTCCTATGATTTTTTTAAAAAGTAGGCAAAGTTTCCATGCCATAATGTGATGATTTGAGATTACAGCCAACGATTCAGACATAGGAAACCCCTTTTTACTTTCTCACTAAATTGTTATCTGTATTTAGCAACAATGAGATATGTGTATACTGTGGACAAAAATGCAATAGGTGTAATTGTGTACAAAAACATTTATAAATGAATAAATGCCTAAAACTCCCTCTATGCTGACTTTTAAACAAAGAATGACAAATAAATGCAAACCCAATTCAAAGTAAAATTATTTAAGAGAGAGAGAGAGAGAAAGAAATTGACATTTGCCTTTATTTATTGTACTATCTCAAAATGTGTTATGTTTTAAAAGTGGAGTTGCTTCAACAGAGTGACACCTAGTGGCGCTGGGAATTAGCTGTTCCTAAATTCTCCTGGATGTCTGTCTATCTGTGCTTTCCTTTGGAATACATTAGCTTTGATCTAAAAAAGGAAAGCCATGTTTACTAGAACAATTTGTCACAATTGCTCAGCTTCAATGAATGAATTTGAGTAATGGAACAACTGTTGTTCTAAAAAGTAATGAACATTTTGCAAGAGATGGCACTACCAACTCACAAATATATTTTTTAAAAATAGTAATTTTAGTGCTGCACAGAAAGCAGCTTTGTGTCATTTCTATTTTTTAAAAAGCATGTAAACATACAACTTATTTTGAGGACTCTTCCAATTACCTGCTACTAACAATGAGATACACATGAATGTTCAATGCATTCCAAGCAATGTTGGGATTCAAAAAATTTTACTATCGGTTCTGTGCACGTGGCTTTGTGGGTGTGGCTCAGTGGCGGATTTCAAAAAAATTTGGAACCTCTTCTGTGTATGTGGCCTGCTTTGTGGGAGTGTCTTGCCAGCCATGTGACTGGATGGGAGTGGCTTGCCAGCCATGTGACT